AAATGGTGTGCATGGGAGAGGAGGAAGGAAGGAGGGAGGAGGGAGGGAGGAAGGGACAAAGTGAGAGAGAAAGAGAGGGAGGGAGGGAGAGAATGGTTTCTTTTTCCCCTCTACTCATTTTTCTTTTACCTAGATTACAAGCATTCTGGGAAATGTCAATAAAAACTCCATTCTCAGGGCCGGGCAGGTGGCTCACGCCTGTAATCCTAGCACTTTGGGGCCGAGGGCGGGCGGATTGCTCAAGGTCAGGAGTTGGAACTAGCCTGAGTGAACCACTGTCTCTACAAAAAATAGAAATAAATTATTGACCAACTAAAAATATATATACAAAAAAATTAGCTGGGCATGGTGGCGCATGCCTGTATTCCCAGCTACTTGGGAGGCGAGGCAGGAGGATTGCTTGAGCCCCGGAAATTGAGGTTGCTGTGAGACAGGCTGACCGCCACGGCACTCACTCTAGCCTGGGCAACAAAGTGGAGACTCTGTCTCAAAAAAAAAAAAAAAAAAAAAAACACCAACTGCCGATTCTCGTGAAAAAGAAATACCAGTAGCTGGGATTACAGGCATGCGCCACCATGCCTGACTAATTTTTTCGATATATTTTTAGTTGTCCAGCGAATTTCTAGTTTTAGTAGAGACGGGGTATCGCTCTTGCTCAGGCTGATCTAGAACTCCTGAGCTCAAACAAACCACTTGCCTCGGCCTCCCAGAGTGCTAGCATTACAGGCGTGAGCCACCGCGCCCAGCCCAGCACAGTCTTTCAAAGAGCCATGTTACATTACATGCGGCAGGAGACCCAGAGAGATCAACTGAACTGCGCACCTACTCTAAACTCAGTCATGACCAGGCAAGTCTGTAAGGTTCGAAGGTGAGCTCGCCAGAGACCCCTTTGATGAGAATCTAGGAAGCCCCATGGAAGGTTCAAACGATTGGATACTTTGAAGTTAAGCTCCAAGGATTAAGGCCTGCAGGCCACCGAGACACAGGGCTCCCCGAATCTCCAGGCCGTGTCCCAGGGAATACCATGCATACCATTGGTCATCTGTGCAGGGACTTGAGGTGTTGCGCAGATGAAAATTTATTATTTTCAACTATATAGACAGCGGGGGAAGGGTTGGGGGAAGCTGATGGAGCAGCTTTCTAAACCGGCAAGGGCTGGGCAGGTGCAGGCCTGACTCCTGGGTCTCACTGGGAAAGGCAGGCAGGGAGGACTGCTATTTGCAAGCACAAAGGGAAACACTCTAAAACTCCTCCTCCTTCTTTTACTCTCATCTCTGGTGAACCAAAGTGGCTTGAAAATGTTTTTAGACATAGTATGGTTGGCAAGACCCAGTAAGAAAGAGACAATTTTATAACAGTTATTATATTACTCTTATAACCTATTTTTTTTTCTTATTCTGGTGTCACCAGAAGCAAAATTTCTTTCAGGTCTGCCATCTAGTTTATAAATCAGTTATGAGCTTATGGCTTAATTTTCTTTTCCATTTCTTTTCCATCTATGTGCTAGCTCCCTTTCTATATTTGTTAGTCTGAAGATTTCTTCCTTCTAATTAACGAGAGTCTTCCAACTGTTACCTGCCTTTATTTGAATTCCCAAATCACACTTTCAAAGCCAATATCAATTAAGTTAATGGGCATCTGTTTCTGAAAAAGAGCCTTTGGAGGAAGCACCAAGAGCTCCATGAGGAAATAAGTGACATCTCTGGGGGAGTCCCTGCAGTCACTAGAGGCCCAAGCCAGATGGTATGGAAGGGCACTTGGCTCATGAAGAATGCAGATATTAAAAAGAAAAACAAGCCTGTTCTCAGAGGCCTTTCTGGTAACCTGCTTGGGGGCTGCCTTGACTCATTGTCATAGGTACTGACACTTCAGCTCTCACTTCCTCCTTCAGCCAGAATTCCCATTTACTCATTCATCCATCCATCCATCCATCCATCCATCCATCCATCCATCCATCCATCCATCCATCAGCCATCATTTACCAGCAGTGCTGAGGACTGGAGGTATTTAGATTAGTAAGACACAGCCCCTCCTTCAAGGAGAGCCAGCGTGGTGAGAAAAGCACATGGATATCTGATTCCCAGATCATGTGCTGGGAACTGCGATAGAGCCGTACACAAGGCATGGTCAGAGAGCTGGGAGGGGCTCCCCTCACACCATCTATGCCAGACTTAAAGGAGCCAAGGTCTCAGAGGGCTGACAGGAAGGTTTCTGAGTTATAGCGAACTTGAAACTCATGGATCTCTTTGGTGATTTACAGACAATTAGGTTTAGTTGTGGCTTACCACAATAGCAAATCATTATTTGCAATATTGTTTTACAGGAAAACTTTATCATAAATTCCAAATAGCCTGTCTTAGAAATGAACTTCTAGAACATGGTCCATTTGTAAATTGCATTCTTCTTTAGATAAGCATGCTTGTGTTCTAGTGTGTCTGTGAGACCCTGAGATGTAGTTTAAAAGCCATCGCCCAAATCTTACCCTTTAGGTATTTACCAGGGTTTCCTTTATTTGACCAAATTTAGTCTCAAACCTTGAAAAACAATAAATTTCCCAATAGCATCATTATGTCTTATACTAACTAATCCCTCTGACAAAACCAACAAATTATAACCATGTTTTCTGTTTTCACTGATGCACTCATTACCTTCTTCCTCTTAGTCATTGAATCAGTCAGGTAAAAATGATAAAGCCTGAACTTGGAAACATGGAGATAAGAACGAAATTCTTATATCTTTGCCTTCACGGGTTATGCAACATTAAGCAAGTTATTCAGTTCTCTCTATGCCTCAGTGTACTCAGCTATGAAATGGAAATACTAATATTAATAGTCTTCCTTGATAGCGAGTTTTTTTAAATGAGGATTTCATAAACGAAACCACACAAAACTATTAGAAAAATGCGTGGTAAATAAGAGCTTCTCAGTAAAGGTAGGACTATCGTCATCATCAACAGGGGAGAAGTAAAGCAAACACTGTAATCACTAACTACATCTGGTTTACCCTGGCAGCTTAGGGTGGCCATTCCGGCCGGCAGAGAGCGCCAGAGCTGGGAGCAGCCAGAGATGCTGCTGGGAGAGCCAGTGGCATCCTCACCTTGACCACCTCGTTGTGCACGGCCTGCACTGCCACGTGCAGGGCCGCCATCATGGTGCTGTTTCGAAGGTTTGGGTTTGCTCCTTTGCTGAGAAGAAACTTAACACTTTCAACCTGGTTTTTTTCCGCAGCCCAGTGCAGAGGGGTGTTCCCGTAATCGTCCATTACATTCAGCACTAGAAAAAGACACCAAAATATAGATTAAAGTTTGCTGGGACTGTATCCAACACCTCCTGAGCGCCGCCTCACTTCAAAACTCAGTGCTAAATGTGACTCTGATCAGCTGCATCTTCTTTACGAAAAGCAAAGACACGGCTTCGGTTCTCATGAAACACGAGCCACCTTAATGGGCACCTGTCAAGAATAAACAGAAGCATGGCACTGACTTTGTCAACTGAGTTAAATTTCTATCAAGAGCCTTCATAAGAAACAGCACCTATTGCCACATGTTTTTATGTGTTCATGAATTTGGGGAGTGTGATAAAATACCAAGATTATGTAAAAGCAGGAACCATGTGCCAGGCACTCTAGGAGGTTCCACATGACATTATTTCATTCGAGCCTCCAACAGCCCACAAGGTACCAGCATGATCAATTTTCAGAAAGATGAAGATTCTGAGGCCTAGAGAGGCTAGCAGTCTTGCCCGCATCACACGGCAAGTGAGGAGGTGTGAAAGTCACCTGACCTCTTTGAACTTCACTCATATTCATATTTGGTATAATAAATTAACTAAAAAAAAGAACCATACACACATCCACCTACACCCATGCACACACCCCTACACTCCTTGCAAAGTTGTTGGGAGAATAACACTAAATCATGTCTTTAAAGATCTTAGCAGAATGCCTGGCCGATAGCAATGGTTCAAAAAATGTTAACAGAAAAAAGAAACACCACTAATAAACCACAAGACTAGAATTCAAGCTAGAGCCCCTGATGCACACATGGTTTGCATGTATTTCTACAATACGATATATAGCACTGTTTTCCTTGTCAGCTCAGCATAAGAGCAACAGGTCTTTTCATCCTGCAGTGTGCTATGGGTATTCTAAAATAGACACAGCTGTCTGCTTCACCAACCATTTAAATTAGTGGCAGTATATCCTGATGTCTGGGGAGGGAGAAAAAAATATTTGCTCATAAATATGATTTGGGGACCACCTATGATACCTGGAACCAGGCAGGCATGTTTTCTGTTTCTCTCCTTTTTAAAAATTTCTTTCTCCGCTATCTCCTTCACTCATCCGAGCGCCTCATTCTCAACAACACACACACACACACACACCAAGAGTCACACATATCCTCACGCACATCTCTTGAACGTTCTGTCTGATCAAGACGAGTCACTCCATTCTTCATTCTGTTTGGCACCAAACTTAATTAAACAGGGAACTATACCTACAAACTGCCAGTCATTAATTAAATTAATTGAATTTGGCTTTTATCTTCACCACTTTTCAGAAATCATCTTTACAAAGGTCGAAAATAAGGGCTTTACTGTGATCTCCTTCCTACTTGGTCTCTTTGTGGGAACTGCTGCTTCTAACTTACCTGCCCCAGGAACATCTCCCTTGGCTTTTGCATCATCAACCTCTTATCCATCATTCTCTTCATTCTTTTCCTGGCGTTTCCTCTGCCACCTGCCTCTGAATGTTGGTTACTCCACCCTTACCTACCATTGTTGGTAATTTTAGGGCCTTTTATAATTGGCACTGATCTACCCTTCAGAATCACTTCATACCATTTCTGATAATCTAATGGAATAATAGATTTATGGGACACTCATTGTAACATACTTTTTACCTTCACAAGAGGAATCATTGATGATCATGTTCATCAGCTCAACTTGACCTTCAGCTGCAGCATGGTGCAAAGGGGAGGCATTTGTATCATCTTTGCCATTTAATCTCTTTTGTTTCTGGATAAAGTTTTGTGATACACATGCACTTCCTTCAAAAACAACCTAGAGGTATATAAAAAAACTGTTAAACCAAGCAAGCATATGCAATGCTTATAAAGTTAATCATTTTATAGCCTTAAAAAGTTTATTATCCAAGACTATTTATCATGCTTATAATAAGGTAAATATTTTTCTTGAAAACACAAAATTCTTACAGACACAAAGAAGGTATAAGCAAATGCCTAAATATTGATCAGTACATTAAATAAATGTTTTTATTTTCTGATCACCAACTTGCATATGCTGTAGAAATAAAGGCCTTCTTCCTTTCCCTTGTTCCCAATCCACCTAGCTTCCTGAAGCGCCCCTCCTTTAGCAGGCCCTCCTGTTAGCTCTAGCAGCCCGTCTTCAGCCCAGCCTCTCTCGCTCATTTCCCTCAAGTTCACAGTGGAGCTTTCCAGATGCCACAAGATGCATGGTGACCTCACAGCACTAATAGTTACTGGAATGTGTGCTGTGCCTTGTGCTTTAAAATATTCATCCACTGTCATTTTCAATAGGATAAATATTGATGGCTATAACTCACATAAGTAAGCACTCTGCAGGATCCTGGATCATGTTTAAGTTTAAAAGGGTTCTGAGACAAAAAGTTTGAGAAACACTCTCCAGTTCTTTCTTAATCTCTCATTTTACACACTGTTGCTAAATATGTACTACCCACTGTATACTTATCTTTCCATGATACTTTCATATGTGCAAATAATTTTTCCAGAGAGGGAAGAGAGGAAGGAAGGAAGGAGGGAAGGAGGGAGAAAATAAGAAAAGAAGAGAGAAAGGGAGACAGGAAGAAGAAAGCAGAGTTCTCACAGAGCAGGTCAGGCCACATGGACTATTATACACACCAGAATTTCCCCAGATTACTTGATGAATTTTAATTCCCTAGAGGCTTAAAAAAAATCAATGTTAAAAATAAGAAAAATTAAAAGAACCTCCTTCCAGCCTTATGGCAACATACAGACTAAAAATTATTTCTCAATGCTTCTTTCAGCTTTTGCAAATATATGATCAAATGATACATGTGCCTGAAATTTTTTCAATTTCTTAGCAAATATTTCATCACATAGACCAAAAACAAAATGTACCATAAAGACAGTAGCTTTTCATGGAAACCACTGTGAAATTACAATTTTCTGAAAATGTAAAAATCTTCACCAAATAGTAATAAATGGCCTAGATACTTTCTTTAATTCTACATTTGACCATGACTGGTCACATTTGCCATATGATAATATATATGTGTTGAAACTCTAAGTTGTTATTTAAAAGATAACCAGAGCATTTCTCACGACTGTGAAGAAAATCTATTAAACAAAATGAAGTGTTAAACTATTTAATGCATTTTAATATAGTTAATAAAGAATTTACCATATTAGGATTCATTCAGTAAATGTCAGGTTGAAATAAATACAACTTAATATCTTAAAATTTTGAACTTTGGATTTTGCTTCTGTTATCACAGAATAGTACCTAAAAATCACTCTTCTATGGCAGTCTTTTAAATAGAGATGTGTCACTTTTTAACTAAAAAATTGAATTCCATATATGCTATACATATGATAGCTTTAGTGACTACAGGATATGACAATGAGCATCCAACTATTTCCAAATTTATACATACTGAGTATTAAATTAAAAATGGACTTCTTAAAGAAATAAGCTCTTTCTCAATGTCTCTCCCTATCAAAGAAAGTATTTACCCAAATCCATTCAGAAGCATTTCAGTACTTGAATTTGTTATATTCTTCAGGTGATAATAAAGGGGTTGCATTGCCCACTGTACAGTGCCAGAAAGAGCACAGGGTCTATTCAGTATGCGCTATCAACACAAACCCATTCCACACTCTTTAGAGGAAGTACTAGGTTAAGAAACTCACAAGGTACTACTGAATTCACAATGACAAAACAGCATCTAGATACTTTATATGAGAATATCAGTTGTGCTAAACAGTGTCAATCTAGTACCTGACATATTGTCAGGCTTTGAAGAGATTTCTCAAAGACAGTCCTGAAAGTAAGCCAAGGATGTCATTTAGACAAATTATTATACACTCAGTGTAGTTTCCTGTTGTCAGAGGGTCCACTTCATACTCTTGTTGATTTTGAACTATATGATTAGATTCAGAACATAATAGACTAGATCATTTTTAGAGAAGCTAATTTTAACTAAAACCCTTTAAACAGAGATATCAAATACATTTGCTTTAGGTTGATTTAACGAAATACAGACAGGCAGTAATGGGGCAGAAAAGAAGGAAATTAAGGTGAAAGATTATAACAACTGAAAGGTCAAATGCTAGCATATAAAATATGTTATATGTCATATCTTTTATATTATGAAGCTATAAAAAAATCCCTAGAGTTCAAAACCCTTCACATATGTTGCTTTGTAATAAGTCTAACCACTGTGTTTTTTATGAAATGATCTGGAATTATTGCAGTTAACAAAATAAAATATATAAATCCTCAATCTACAAGCCCTAATGTAGCTTCTAAAAGCCTTCAATAACGTAAGTGGCTGTACTTAGGCAATAAAACTAAAGACGATTAAACAAAAACATAAAGAAAAATAAGTTTGAGACTTTGAGCTACAGAAATCCTTCAGCAAATGTCTCTAGAAAAAGCAAACCACGTGGGTGATTTTTGAAATTTTAAAATTTCTTCCTGTCCAGTATAAATTGTAAGACTATCCCAGTGGCTGAAATCCACTCATGACTCACCTCTTCGGAGAAGCCACACGGCATCAGTTAACATGCTAATATTTAGGAGAAAAAAATGTCTGTGATCGACCTGAATATGCAGACTCACCTGGGGAGGCCTGGCTTGTTGGTGTGTGCGATTTACCACACATGCCTAACTCACATACATGGTTGGCAACAGTGACAATTTGTGCAAGCTGTTTAGACAGCAATTTGGCAATTTCTACTAAAATTAAAGCTGCACATACCTCTTGACCCTGTCAGGACTTGAACATATAGACATACCGACAAAGGTATGAATGGATAGGCAGAGAAGCCACGTCTACACTCACAGACACAATTATGTGTCTAATAGCAAGACAAAATGAAAACAAAAACAGCCTAAGTGTCTGTCCATCAGTGCTGGACTGGCTAAAGAAATCATGATACACTCATACAATGCAATACTATGAAGCTGCTAAAAAAAGCTAGGGATAACTCCAAGTGCTAATTTGAACAGTATTCTAAAATATATTTTGTGAGTCAATCAAAGTGGAAATCTCTGTGACTTCATACTTTTATAAGTAATTAAAAAAAAACATATATGAACATATGTGTATTTGTAGAAGCATTTTTTTTTCCTGGAAAATACATACTGTTAACATGATTCCACTGTGGAAAGGGATTTGTCATGGGGGTTTGGAGAGAATTTTTAATGACATCTCAACGTTTCAAAAGAGACCTTTCCTCCTGCTGGCACTGTGGTGGGTTTTGAGAACCCAATAGCCTCTATGCCTCAGACTAGGCCGGCAGGCCCTGCGCCGCCTTAGGTCCCACTGTCTGGAGAAGCGCATGAGGAATAGAAGCCCCCAGCCCAGCCCCTGGCGTCCCCAGGAGATCACTCTCCCATCTTCAAAGGGTCTCATCCCACACAGTGTTTCCTGACGCCCCCACTCGCTGGGGGAGGAATTCTCCAGTCCTGCCTGCGTTTTACCAGCGCCTTCTCCACAGGCTTCATTCGCAGGCCATTGGTTTCTCCGTGTCACTCTATTAAACAAGAACGTTTCTCCACCAAGCACCTCTTGCCTGAATAGCTACCCGAGGACTATCCGACACGCTGTGTGGCTGCAAACGAAATCTACAAAAAGGTCCCTGTGAAACGGCACACACTCCAAATTGTCCTGCTTTTAGGCAGTTGCCTGATTGTACCAAACGCCAAAGGTACTTTTTGAGTAAGTCTCTCCCCGGACTGCAGTTGCCCATTCAGGAGCAGGAACAGGTTGAACAAACAAGCAAGCAAACAAAAAGGACAAAGCAGGCACGGTGTGGGCGTGTTATTAGCGTGGCCCCGCAGGCTCCCCACGCCGCGAGAAGGTCTCCTCTTGGAAAGTGTGCACACGCCCCTAAGCGAGCACCCCCCACTGGCCTCTCCGGGCTTCCCACTTCTTGCCCTCCCATCCAAGCAAGGGCTGCGCGCAAGGAAGCTCGAGCCGGACCCCCGCCCGGACTTCGGAGCGCGTCCCGACTGCCAGTCGCCCAGGGTACCTTCAGCGACTCCTTGCAGTCATCCATGTCGACCTGCACGCCCTGGTAGCCAAGGTCCTGGGGCTCCTTCTTCTCGCCAGGGCGCAAAATCTTCCTCAGGCTGCGCTTCATTGACCCCGCCCCTGACGCCACCTGGTGCAGCTGCTCCCCACGTGCGCCGGCACCTGCGGCACCTGCGGCGAGAGCGCGCCGTGAGCGGGACCGGCGGCGGGGCCAAGCTCTCCCGCACCCTGCACTTCCCGGGTGCGCAAAAACGGGCTCCGCGGGAAGCCCAGGAGAACTTCTGGAAGGAGTTCTCAGGCTCGGGCTACTTGTAGCGCAGGAAGGAGGCGGGGCACAGGAAGGAGGCAGAAACACAAACCTCGTGTCCACCAGGGGACTCTCCCCTTTAGGGGAACAACGTGACTTGTGACTTGCCTGTCCCCTCTGTCCTGCAGCAGCAGCCTCAGCGCACTCGCCGAGCCAAGTATGCCAGGTCAGGGTGGATACAACGAATTTGTTATAATAAAAGCACCAAGAGCTGTGTGTGTGTGTGTGTGTGTGTGTGTGTGTGTGTGTGTGTGTAAAAAGAGAGAGGAAGAAGGAATGCGACAATAATTGGGCACATTGGGAAGATTTTTAGTTTTCAGGATTTCTTTTTCCCAACCTTTAAAGCCTATGGACCTCCTGTCTTTCTCATGTCCTTTTGGGGGCCTCTCTTTGATTTGGAAATAATGTTTTTGGCAAAACTTCTCTTTCTGGACATTTGGGAGAATGGTTAAATCCTGGCACCGATTTGAGGGACTAGATTAAGTCCCTGTAACTCTCAGGGCCCATTTCCTGTGGCTAATCATGTTGATTTGCCTCATGCTTTGATGTTTAAGAGTGGTTAATTAAAATGACGGTCAGGTTAAACATAAGCCACTAGTGACTGATGTGAGCTTGTTCCCGCTCAGCTTTGTTGGAGAGACTTCATGGGCCCATGCTGCATTTATTAATCAACAGCATAGGTATTGTGTAAAGTAAAAGATGTTTCCTCTCAATTGAAGAGGCTGCTTCTACATGTACGCACAGCCAGGGGAGCTTCTGAAATTATTGCCAGTATATTTAAGTTGCAAGGCCAGAAAGCAAGAAAACCTCTTTCCAAGGCTGATTATAATTTGCACATGACAGAACGTAGCTTTGACAGTCTTTTTGCTTTGGCAAGTTGTGTTCCTTGAAGCCCTGGATTGCCATTTTCCACCTGGCTATTTCCAGTGCCTAACACAAGCCACGCATGGATCCAGGGCCTGGCATAGAGCTGAGGCTCAGTAATGGTTTGTGAACTTCCTGATCTAGGGGCTCCAGTGCACTGAACTTAGGGGTAGGCAGAGTGGTCATGATGATATTGAGGAACCATGAAAGGTCCCCCCAAATCTTCCAATGCATATGGCAGATTGCTATCCATTCCACCCCTGGAGTGGAATTCCTTGGAACGCTAATGTTGAGTGTATCACATCACGAATCCGTGAGTGTGGCCTGCTGAAAGCTTGGTGAAGGATACAGATGTTCAGCTTCACCTCTGCGCACTTTTGCCACCAGCATCTATGTTCAGAGAGTGCAAAACAAAGATCAGCCGCATACCTTGCTACAATTTAGCTGAAGTAGGTAATGCAGTTGGAAAAACCAATAATGAATCCAACGGATGAGAAAAGAGAATAACTTTCACAGAGCCACTGTCATCTACCTGGCATTTTACATACACCAGGTTTATGTTTTAGAGTGGAAATGCCTCATAGGAATATTAAGACTTTTTATTTGTTATTATGAATTACTTTGATCAATTGCTTTTCTCCCAACATTCAGCTGAAAAGGGTCACTAGGGAAAAAGGGAATAAAAGGGGTCATTTTGGAAGCTGGGGCAGTGGGCATGTCATGGTAGCAAATGCCAGATGGCCCTGTTGGCCCTGGGAGAGGGCTGTGGGGGCCAGGGAACTCCAGCCATGGAGGGTAGAGGGGAGTGTGGGGAGGAGGGGGGCTCCAAAACAACAGCACCCCTTCTATGTAACATCTCCTGATGTCAGCTGCCAGCACAGAATCTCTGCAGAATGATGCCATCTGCATTCTTGCTCTGCACCTCATTTACATCCCCCAAAGCATGTATTCTTTTTAACTTGTCCTCTCCAGCTTTAACACTGAAAATTATAGATAGTTGGTATTATAGATCTGAATGTTTTTTCCTGTTTTCTGCTTGTAAAAACAAAGGGATTCAGTATTAATTTTTTTTTTTTTTTTATCTTTTCCTGGTCTTGTCCATTTTAGGCACTTTGCAGGCAGCATCTTCCTAAGACCTCTTAGGTATTCCCATGACTGCTTCTTATTAATTGTTAAATTATTTCCTGCCCATCAAAAATGATCTCTTTCATAAAGCCGCCCTTTTAAATTACTACAAATCTTGGTCTTAAAATGCATAATGTAGTTATGAACAGGATGGTATCCAGCCATTTACGATCAAGATCTTATTACTTTTGAAGTTTAATTATTGATGAATAGTAATAAAATGCAATGTTTTTATACCAATTATAATTTCAACACAAGGATAATTATTAAAGAAAATAAGCCTTCATAGAAATTTCCTGAAGGTAATTTTTATCATCAAATTATATTTTGTTATTACATAGGACCTTATTCAAAAAAATTAAAAGTAATAATAAGTGATTTTATTTAAATGATCAGGGAAAATATAGTATGCATATATAAGCTCAATAACTTTTTAGGAAAAATCTAAATTACCAAAAATTATCTTTATTTTGTTCCTTAAATTTGAAACAAAATTTTTATTTACAAATTACAGAAAATTTTTGAAGCCATCAATCCAAATATAATGTTATTAGTACCGATAACCAAAGGGAAAACTGCTTGTTTACCTTAAGTGTCTTAACTCAATAATATAATGAAAAGGGGCCTAATAAAGATACGAAGGAATGGAAAGTAGCATCTTTTCAAAAACATATAAAGTTCACCCATAGTAAGTATGTAGTTTGATGATTTTTAGTAAGTTTATGCAATTATGCCACTGTCTGCATAATCCAGTTTTAGGATACTTCCATCAATCTAGTTAGCTTATGCTAACATGCAGTCATTCCACTCTCCCACCCATGGCCCTAAGCAACCTTTGATCTGTCTCTATAGCATAGTTTCTGTCTCTATAGTTTAGCCTTTTCTAGAAATTTCGAGTACATGAAGTAATACAGTATATACTCTTTTACAACTGGCTTCTTTTGCCTAGCATAATGCACTTGATATTTCACCCATATTGTAGTGCATCATAAGTACACTACATACTACTTAATGCTCAATAGTATTCTATTGTATGGATATACCTTGTTTTCTTTATTCATTTACCAGTTGACAGATATTTGGATTATTTCCAATTTTGGTCTATTATAAATAATGCTATTAATGTTATAAAAATGCTGAACATTTTCAAATAAACCTTTTAGTGGACATGTATTTTGCATTTCTCTTGTTTAGAAATTTTTGATGAATTTTTATTAAATTCTTTTGCCTCTTTTTAAATTAGATTGTCTTTTTACTATTATTTAATTGTAAGAGTTCTTTATTCTAAATGCAAGTCTTTTATCAGGTAAATAATTTGAAAATATGTTTTCAGAGTCTGTGGCTTCTTTTTATTTTCTTAATAGTGTCTTCGCGAAAAGCAAACTTTTTAATTTTGATAAAAGTCTAATTTCTAAATTTTTTCTGGACTGTGCTTTGGATGTCACATGTAGAAATTTTTGCCTATGCCAAGATTAAAAAGTTTCTGTTCAGTATTTTCTTCTAGAAGTTTTAGCTCTTATTAATACATAGATCAATTTTGAGTTAATTTTTGGGTAAGGTGTGAGGTAGAGGTCTAAATTCATTTTTATAGCATACATATACATAACTGCTACCAATTATTGAAAAAACTATACTTCCCTCATAGAATTGCCTTGGAACTATTGACAAAAATCAATTCACTATAAATACAAGTGTTTGTTTCTAGACTATTCCATTGATCAAAATGGAATGGATCTCTATGTTTAAGACACATGGCTTGTGTTATACCACGTGGTCTTGATTTTGTGGCTTCACAGTAAATTTTGAAATCAAACCATGTGATGGTTAATTTTTGGTGTCAGCTTGACTGGGTTGAGGATTGCCTAGGAGGCAGATAAAGGATTGTTTCTGAATATGTCTGTGAGGGTGTAACTAGAGGAGATTGGCATGTGAGCTACTGGACTGAGCAGGGACCTGCCACCCTCAGTGCAGGTAGGCAGGAGCCAATGGGCTGGGGCCCAGCTGGAAAAAAGGGGCAGAGGAAGATGGATTCGCCCTCTGTTTTCTCTTTCACTTCTGGAGTGGAATGCTTCTTCTCTCCTCCTGCCTTTGGACATAAGACTCCAGGTTCTTCAGTTTTGGGACTCTGGGACTTCTACCAAGAGCTTTCTGGTATGTGGGGTAGAAGTATCTTGAAGCTGAATGGGGCCTGCACTGCTGGCTTCCTTGGTTCTGAATCTTGGGTCTTAGACTGAGTCATGCTGCCAGCTTCTCTGTTTTCCAGCTTGCAGTTGACCTATTGTGGGACTTCACCTTTGTGATTCTGTGAGCCAACTCCCCCTAGTAAATTCCCTGCCATATAGGCTACTGGTTCTGTCTCCCTGGAGAACCCTGGCTGATACACATGGTGTAAGTCCTCCAACTTTGTTCTTTTTTCATATTGTTTTGGCTATGCTAGGTCCTTTGCACCTCTGTATAAATTTTGGTATGTTTGTCAATTTTAATGAAAAAGACTGCTAGTATTTTTATAAGAATTTCATTGAGTCTGTAGATCACTTTGGCGAGAAGGGCCATTTAAAAAATATTGAGTCTTCTGATCTGTAATTGTGGTAATTTTCCCCTTTTATATAGATCTATCTTGATTCTCTCAGCAGCATTTTGTAGTTTTCCATGTACAGATCATGTAGATTTGTCATTAAATATATTCCTAAGTATTTTATTAGTTGTAAGCTATTTTGATTGGAATGGCTTTCTTTTTTATTTCAAAATATTAAGGGGGTACAAGTGTTTTTGGTACATGGATAGCTTTGTGCCCATTACCTGAATGGTGTTCATTGTACCTGTCAGGTAGGTTTTTATCCCTCCCCTCCTCCCCCATACCCCCTTCTGAATTTCC